TGACAAGCATAATTATAACAAAAGAGGGAAAAAATATATTTGTTGTAGAACAAAAGGTATGTATTTATTGTGGCTTAACAAAGTATGATACTTAACAAAAAAATGTATCAAAAGTTGATAAAATTGTTAATAGTTTCGCGTTTTTTATTACTGTAGCAAAAAAAAAATTTTCACTTTGCTTTTAATAAAAAAATATTACTTAATAATTTATGCCAACAAACCATAAAATCATATGGAGAAAAGTAACTACCTATAGAAAAGTTGATGAATTGGAATATATAATTAATCTATACATAAATAAATTTACTGGTAGAGCAATAAATTTTAGTACCCGCCATTTGTTGGAAAAACATCAAGACGCATGCCACAAATTGGAGGAAGAGCGCGGCGGAAAATCGTTTGAGCGCTACTAAATACGTATTATTATTATATTATGTGTAAGCATGTATGCATGTATGTGTATAGAAGAACACTAAGTGTATTTTACAGCTTTTTTGTAATAATATTAATATTAATAATAATAATAATAATCGCAAAGAATGAACGATGAAAGTTCAACCGACACGACAAGCGACATCCGCAAAAACGTACGGTCTATGCCGAGTCACGATTGGGCAGCGTTTGTTAAGCGACTAGAAAACATATTAATGCAACAGCTGAAATTTAGTAATTATGGAATTTTAAAATTTAGCTTTTGAGAGTGGCAAGAATAGTTTTTTGTGGCCAAAAAGTGAGTCTGAGAGTTTGAAGGTGCCGGCATGAAAATTTTTAAATTGTGGCACAAACAGCGAAAGGGTTCATTCAATTCACAATTTGTTTTGCACGAATTTAATAATAAAGGCCTGAACTGCCTAGATATACCAGTTGGAACATTAAAGTTTACCTCAGGTAAGAGCCGTGAACTGCAAATTGAACCGTTAGGAGGTTTCACAACGAACAAAGCAACTAAAATTACTCTACGCCTTGGTAGAGTAGGTAGATTCAGAAGCTTTAAACGGTTGGTATGTAGGAGAAAGATTTATCGCAGAGTACCATTGAAAATGCCTTAACGCAAACAGTAAAAATTGTCTTTAAACCGACTACAATTTATCAGAATGAACCTGTTAATTCCTTAACAGTGAAACATATTCTAAGTTTGGCCTCAACAAAGTCATATAAAGTGCTTTGGTTACAAAAGAATCTTTGAGTTCTTTTCACCATCATTTGACAAAAGCAAAAGCGATTTTAGTTTATACATAATAAATTAAAGCCAAATAAAGTATTTATATAATTTTTTTTAATAAAATAATATACTCGTTTGATTTTTTTAAAATAAATTCAAAAAAATCATTCGAAAAAGGCAAAACGGTGTGTAAATTGTAGCTACTTAAGCTATTTATTTTATATTTAGAGCATTTAAAATTTTTATTTTTCTTAAATATAAATAGCTAAAAGGAAACGCAGTACTTATTTCGCAGTTAAGAAATTAAAAAAAAATAAAATAAAAATAAAACGAAAAATGTAATAAATGCGTAAAAAGCGCAAAGAGCAAAAGGAAAGTGTTTACTGTAGCGGAGAATTCCTTCACTAAGTAAAAAATACTAGTCTTTCAGTTCACTCTTTTATATCGCAGAAACGCAGAATAAGTTTTTGTGATGACATTTAATTTTTGTTTACTTCTTTTTCTCAACAAACAATAAATGGAAAAGTGAAAATTAAATCAAATGATGAAATTGGAGAATTAAAATGAAAATAAAAAGTAAAAGAAAAATTGATATGAAATTATAATATAAATAAAAAATTAATTCTAAAAAGGTATAAAAAATAAGCTAAAAAGAAAAAATTAAAAAATTAAAGTTGATAAAAAATTAATTGAAAAAAAGTAAAAAATATAAATTAAAAAGGAAAAAATTAAAAAATTTGCGTAAACAATTTTTTTTTGTTAATTACTTTTTTGCAACCATTGCTTTTGCTGCATTTACCTCGAAGCTCGTACGACTACCGCAGGATCAACAATAAAGAGCCAGTTTAATCTGCGCTTTGCTGCTTCAATCCATCAATGGGAGCCCTTTACAACAGAGTGAAAAGCTTTTTCTTTCCACGCTTTCGAAAATTTTCAACTCAAAAGCCTTGCTTTTTATAAGCAGGATTTCTAATGCTGACATTCCAATTAGCGTTCCATCAGTTTAGATCGGTTTCAAAGGCATGCAAACTCGTACATTGCAACCATTTTTTGTCGCCTTTATGTTCACTCGATTTCTTGCATTCAGGTCTTTCCAAGGCTTGCACAAAATCTACTCAGCAACCGAATGTACAGCAGATTTCCATTCGACTTTATTTTGCGTAAAAACTCTAGCACGCATTTTATCAGCTCCTCATATATGACTGAGGTGGACGAAAAGTTTGAAATATCGTATAAAACACAGTGTATAAGCACAAATTAACGGGGTTTTCCATTAGCATCACTTATTTTGATATACAAAGAAATGTTTCCCTTAAAAGAACGATGGTTTCGTACCATCATTACCAACCGATTCCGGCCATAAAAAATCGATGACCAACAACGATAGTGAAATCTACTTAAACCGCACGGTGAGAATGGCGAGGCTTTCTAGTAATAAATCTTCAGTTTTCTGCGCCCTACAATCGACTGTTCTTTTTTTTATTGTTATAGCAATCGCGGTGGAAATGGGCTGCAGCACTCAAGATGATTTTTCGATGAGATTTTTGGTGTGAAATTTAAAAGCTTCAATGCGTTGTTGAGGAGAGTACGAGTTCCATATCAGAAAATTACAGCTTAAAAAGTGACTTCTACTCTCTCTTTAATTCTCTCTATCTTTATTAAAATACTGACGACACATCTCTTGTTTGGCGAATTACAATCTGCTTGATTTTGAGCCTTTCGGGCAAAGCGTTGTTTTTTTTTGAATGTCGATGAGATTTAACAGGTACGAAGACGAGGAACGCCAACGCATTGGTAGATGTTTAGCTGAAGAGACTGATATACTTAACTGTAGCACGTTCTGGTACTGAAAGGAACTTCAATATGATTTCGCGACGCTTCTTTATCATACCGCTTTAGTAGTTTTCACTTTAAAGAAATTTTGGCTTTTAGCTGACAATAACGACCAATTAATTCCATATTTAGTCTACAGCGGAATAGAACCATAACCCAAATGCACAGAAGCCTTTTCTTGCCATTTCCAGATAATTCCACTTGCCCAGACCTCTACATTTATCCTTTTCCTGAAGCAAAATGTTAAATAATAATTATTATTTAATAAAAAAAAAACAATAACTATTAAATCTTCAATTCTATATATTATTCCAGAGAGCAAGCCAATTTTGGGGAAATTTTTTTTGGCAAGCGTTTTTAAAGGCCACTGAAATTATGGCGAATCAAAATAATTAATATAAAATTTGTATAAAAAAATATTTATAAATATGCAAATGACATAAAAATTCACTAATTTGTTTAATAATTTTATTTAACTGAAAGAAAAAAATCTCTGAAAACTCACTATCCATAGAAATTCAAGCAAAACGAATTCACTAGCAAATCATTAAATGGAATAAATAACTCCTGCCACCGATATTGGCACTGTGTGGTGTGTTTTGCTGCAACTTTTGTTGACTTTTGATGATGATTAATTTTGTAGAATAACAAAAACCATTGGTTAGCTTTAATGCGATTAAATGAAACGAAATGAAATAATAAGAAAAGCAGACAAAGACAAAAACTAATTACAAGCAATTAAGCAGAGCATTAAAGCGAGCGTTGTTGTTGCATAAGAAAAGTATCAGTAAGAACAATAAGTTATAAATAAAGGCAGAAACAAACAAAAAACAACAAAAACCAAAAATTAAGGAAAAGCGAATGATAAGAAATTAAATAGCAGATTTATATATAATAATATATAATATATATATATATATGTTTGTATCCCTAAATATCTGTTTACTCAGCTGCTTTTTTCTCAAAAAAAAAAAATTAAATTTATTTTCTTCTTATTTTTTCTTAATTTTTTTCCTTTTGTTATCTCTCATACTCTTCACACTTTTTGTCATCTTCTGTTTGCTGACAAATTGACATTGAAAATTAATTACACTTATCACCGTTAGCTAAATGGCTAAGCGTAATCGCATGACATTTGACATTTTTTCTGTCTAAGTCCTTTCAGCACGTTTTTTTTCTCTTTTTTTGCGAATTAGAGAAAGTAATGCATCGAAAGCGAAATTTTCTGTGATTTATTGAGAAGAATTTTTTTGTGGCGCATTATTTATTTTATATATATTTTACTGCCTTCACCGTGCAATAGATTACAACACATTTACTCCATACATTGAATCTTAATATTCACTTGTTGAGTCAGTATTGATATTAGCGTTTCATTCGTTTGTTAGACTTTCTGCCCTGCCCTAATTTTATTTTATTTTATTTTTTTTTTTTTTATTTTATTTTATTTTATTTTATTTTATTTTATTTTATTTTATTTTATTTTATTTTATTTTATTTTACTTTATTTTATTTTAATTTATTTTATTTTATTTTATTTAATTTTTATTTTTATTTTATTTTTTTGTTATTTTATTTTATTTTATTTGATTTTAGGTTATTTTTTATTTTGTTTATTTAAACTAAGTATTCTTCTCCACACGATATATCAAATGTTTTTTTTTCTGTTTATAGAAAAATTTTGTTTATTTTGATGCGCTTCAATAAGTCAGTTAATGAACGTTTTTGCTAAACAAAATGACAGGAGATGTTTATTTTACCTTGTAGGTGCTTAGTCAAGCGTAAATATGATTATAAAATTAAAATTCAAAATGAAATAAATTCAAGTAGTTAAATAAATATTAAACTAATTATTAAATAAGTTCCCTTTTAAAACATCATACAAATTAATTGAAAATATGAAAATTTTTTATTCCAATTATAAATTATTTGTTGAAAAAAAATCATTTAAAAATTCAAAATAAAAAAGAAAGATTTTTTCTAGTACAATTACAATACAAAATGTCTACTTATATTCCTGATATCTCATATATATTTCCAACCGTGCCATCTTTTTATTGTTCATCATCCAATTGGTGAAAATCGCATAATCGCCCGTTGGTAAAATGGCAGCAGCATTCAAAAGCCTTTGATCGATGCGTAAGTTTTTCACAATCAGATCATGCTATATAATGCGTCATATGTAAACATGTACATATATATATGTTTATAAATGGTGGAAAATATAAAAATTACATTTCACAGGTAATAAATCACCAGCTTTCTTTTACTCACATTATACGGACACGAGTGATTGACATTGGTGTAGGGACGCAAAAAGCCATATAAATATTTTAACAGCGGATTACTTTTGGTATTCATAAATTTGCAGGCGTCGAATATCGTATCGACCATATAGGGATGATAGCCATTGGATTTTTTCATAAATTGCAAGTGCACCTGTGTAGGGGAGTGAGAAAAAACAGATTTATTTACAAGTAAAATTTCATAATTATCACTCATACGCACCGTCACATTCTCTATGGGCGGTTGGTGAACTTTCAAACTGATTGAATATTCATTAAAACCGCGCTGCACCAAATTCAAGCGACATTCTGCGAAGCTAACAAAAGTTTTATTGAAACTTGTGCACTTGATGTTGGTTAATGAAGCTTGAGCGGCCACTGTCAGCTTCAAATATTGACTGAAAATTTCAAATAGCTGGAGCCAAAGCAGTGCATTACCGATGAAGAAAGCGTTTTTCATACTGATCGAAAGCGTGTGACTAACATTGGAGAACACTGGAATATTGTGTATTTGAAAAGATATGCTAAATGATTGAGTACTATTTTTTATTTTATTTATTTTTATTTTTTTATTTTTTTTTTGTATAAATAATTGTTTTGAAAATAAAAATTTAATTGCGCTTTGGTGTGCGTGCTGTGTAGATAAGGCAAAATTAATTTTTTCTATCAGAAAATTATTGTATTTTAACCGCTTACAAACCTAGTTATCTAAAGTACGCACGTGTGTTTGACCTCTTTATGTTACATAATTACTGACAAAATAATTCTAAATAATAACAAAAAATTTAAAAAAAATTAAAAAAAAATTATGGCTTCTGTAACTACACGTCATTCTGGTGACTTTCAGCAGCATATTTCATATGAAATTGAAAGAAGTGAATTTTTTTTTAGTTTGCTCGCTGTAAGTTTCACCAATTTTGTACGAAAATCTTGAAATTTTCTACTTAGCAGTAATAAGAAGAGTAAAATGTTAAAATTTCTAATTAATTTTAGAATTTTTAAGCTACTTAGCTTCTACTAGCTTTTCAATTCTGACTGCTTTCGGCCGCCTGAAACCACTTTTTTTTGTATTTAGTCTTTTTTAACGTAAGATCTTTTCCACCAGATTTCGAAAGCATTTGGTTTAATACTCTACAGTAAGTAATTTATGCTCTCAACCAATATAAGCCTAAATGTAGGCAATAACTTCACACCAAAAGCATAAAAATAATCACTTTCATTTATCAGTTTGTTGTGCTGGCACTGATTTTTTTTTAATTTTTTGTCATTGAAGAAATTTCATTCCATTTTTTTTTCTTTGATTAATTTTCTTGGTGTTTAGGTGTGTTTCTTCAATGTTTCACCACAATTGATTTTGCTTTGTTCATTTTCGCTGCATTCTATATGTCTATGTGGTTATAAAAATAAAGTACCAACGTTTTGTGTATCCCAATTGGTTTGAATATTTTATATATTTATTTTTTATTTTTTAGGCTTATTTTTTCATGGCGCACAGGGGATGGGCATGGCTTCGGTAAATTTAACGAGCTGTTGAATTAAAGAAATGGTATGTGTATAATTTATGTGTATTTACAGAACTGCAGTAAAAAATTAAAAAAATTTTTTGGTTTCAGTAAAGTTTTCTAAACATTGCAGGCTCGCCTTTTAATTATTTTATTACAAATTGATTAACTGATTATTTTTTTTAATACTTTATTGCATATATATATTTTTCTTTTCGTTAAGAGAACTTTTTTAAGGTTTTATTTTTATATGTATTGAAATTTTATAATTTTTGTACAGTTAAATGCTCTTTAATTTGCTATTTTTTATTTTTTTTTCAAATTAATTTTTTTTATATTCTCCATAATAACTCATAATTTTTTAACCTTGGCTTAACATCATGATGTCATGCCAGTAAACCAAATTCCATGTGAAAGAATTAAATAAATCCCTTAACAAAGAATAAAAGCGCAATAACAGGCAGACGACATATTAGCAAAAGCCACTCAATTCCTTTTTATTGCTTTTCCAGCTGTTTTTGATTTCTATTCTCTTTTTTGCTCTTTTTTTTTGTTGTTTGGCGGTTACTTTTCTATTAATAACTTCTCAGGTTAGTTGGTAAGGCGTCCCCATTGACACCTAAGTCTACCTATAAATAGAGTTTATATATACCTGCATATATGTATATGTAGATACACTGTGATTAAAATTTTTTTATTTTTCAAAAACATTTTTCTATATTTAATGCAACTGCAATAATATCAGCAGCCTCACAATGAGTAATCTTTAAAACTAAATTAAAATGTAATAATCCATTGGCTGATAAAAGGCTTATAGCTCAGTATTACTCTTTGCAAGTGTAGTAATTCCCATTCCCTTCAGGCGTTTAATCAGCTCAATCAAATGGCTTGGAGAGGCACAACTAGCTTAATTTCAAAGAAGAAGAGACATTCTTCCGGTGAAATGGATTGTGCTCAAGTAAACATACATTTTTCAGGCTTAAGATCAAAATTATATGCGCTTCTGGCTTGCAGTTCAGGAAAGGCTCACTTAGTTTTCTTAAACCCTCTGGCGAATATCTGAGTCTATGACTCTGCCACCTGTCAAGGATCTTGTCGAAAAGCGCCATCTAAGTTTACGAAACCTACATTAACCTAATGCAGAACAGTCGAAGTATATAAGAAACTGTCTCCTACTCATCAGCTCGTGTATCACTATGAGAGGCGCTCCTGGTCTGTTGGGATGTTGTGGTATTAGCCAGTCTTCCTTCAAGACTCTCTCTTAAGCTACGTCTCAGGTGGTTCATCCGTTGAGTTCAATTTTCGATAACCCGTTCAAGTATTTCGACTGGTAACTGGCGAATGACACGCGTGATGTTTGTCTTCAAGACCTGAATCGAAGTGGGATTATCCCCATAGGCGTTAGACTTTACATATCCCCAAAGGGAAAGGTCTAACGGTGAGATATCACACGATCTTGGTGGCTTATTGACTAGCCTAAAATGCAAAATTATCTGCTCACCGAAGTATTCTCTCAATAAATCCCTTGACTGATGCGATGTCTGGGAAGTGACACCGCCTTATTGAAACCAAATATCACCGAGATCACGAGCTTCATTTTCAGGCAACAAATAGTCGATTATCATGGCGGTTATGTTCTCGCCGAAATAGTTTTTGAAGAAATATGGACCAATAACTCCACCGGCCCACATACCACACCAAACCTTTCTGGACCAAATGACAGCTCTTGAAACTCTTCTATTTTTGACTCAAATGCGGCAGAGATTTTAGCATGAACCCCTCTGCAGTGCTCAAATGACTTGAAAGGATATTTTTTTGGTTGGATTAAGATGAAATATTACTTCACCAAGTCGACTTGCAGAGCCGGACCGAATACAAGCAGCAGCTTAATCTGATGATGAGATGGGAGTGTCATGGGAGTGTGATGGGAGTGTCATCATCAGATTAAGCTGCTGCTTGTATTCGGTACTATGAACCTAAAAGCGATTACTGTGGAGTATTAGCGCTGCTTACGCAGCTCAAAACGAGATTTCGCCGAATTGTAGAACCGATAGCAAGTTTATCTAAGAAAGTTGCTCAGCCAAAATTATGGGCCACCTTATCGTACCAAATTAGTATATTTCCACGATAAGGACAATTGTGCCACTAACTTACAAGAGAGACGAGGGAGTGATGGTCTGAGGACGTCAGGTTCTAAGTTCAATATATTTTTACCTATCATGGCACCACTAGTAGCAAACCAGGGCTTCAACCCTCACTTTCTTTCTTTCTAATCCATACATATCAGCAAAAAGGAATATATCATAATTAAATTAAATAAAGTGCCGCCATAAATACAGACAATTATTTCTCAAATTAAATGAGGAATATATTCAATAATTAATTAATTGCTGCACAACGAAATAACTTTAAATATCAATTAAAATTACAAACATTGAAATGAATCTCCCTCATTTGAGTTAAAGAATTTATTTGCCTGCCAATAGAGCAACGAAATGAGCAATTAAATTTTATTATCATTTAAATGATTTCAATAACATCAACGCAATTTCGATTGAAATTTATACGCACACTCGAGCGCCACAAAATATGCAGCAAATTTTTCTCAAACAATATCTCTTAGCAGCGATTGCACGTAAATTGGCAAGCAAGCGCCTTAAATGAAATTTTAATACGGCAGCATACATATAGACAAGAACAGTTGATGTGAGTATACAAACACAAAAAGACAATGAGTAGGCATATGGCAGCGTAAGCCAGACAGACAGACAGACAGACAAATGATGACACCGTAATATGGACAGACGATAGAGACACAGCGTAGCATTGACGCAAAGCAGCATATTTTATGGCGCTTTTGGGAGTTGTGCTGAGTTGAGATGGTTGGCATTTGCTTTCAACTTAGTCTGCTGGGTTTCAAAATATATTTCGTAGAGAAAATTTATTTTATACCTTTTAGGTTTATTGAAAAATTTAAGTTTTCTTCAAAAATCTTCTAATAAATCACATGTCAAATGTTTGGCTTGAAAATGATCAATATTACACCCTCACCGCATATTGTTTCCATACAACTTAATTTTCAAAAATGCAATTATCGACCACAACTCCGCAAATGTAGCAATTAGGAGCACGAAACTTCTTGTGCTACTTACTTTTCGTATCAGAAATACTGAAAGTAAAATTTATCAAATTTGCATAAGTCTAGCATATGGCTGTCATACAATTAAACTTTCAAAAACGCGATTTTCGAACCAAACTCCGCGATATAAACACCTGGCGACATGAAACTTTTTACGCTACTCTTTTATCATGTGATAATAACTAAAAGTGAAAACTATCAAAATTGAATAACTTTTAGGTGTAGCTCTCATACAATTAATTTTCAAAAACAGCATTTTAGACCACAATTCTCATAGTTAAGCTACTAGAAGTATGAAATATTGTATACTGCTTATTTATCACATGAAAATAACTAAAAGTGAAAACTATCAAAATTGTATAACTTTTAGGTGTGGCTCTCATATAATTAATTTTTCAAAAATAGCATTTTTGACCAAGACAACTATATTAAGGCAACTAGAAGCACACAATTTGTCATACTGTCTCTATATCACATGCAAATAATGTAAGGTGAAATTTGTGAAAATTTAAAAACTTTAAAGAATAGCGCCCATACAACTGGTTATTCAAAAACACGACTTTTGAGCATAACTTCGTGAGCTAAGCAACTAGAACATTGAAACTTGGCATACCACTTATTCATCAAATGAAAATAACTTAAAGTGAAAACTATCGAAATTTTCCATATAACAGGGACGTTCGAAAATTCAAAAACTATGTTTTGAGTTAGAATTTTCGCTAATATGGAGCTGGTAGGTTAAGTTTCGTATTTTTCATAACAATTCTTCTATAATCCCCACAATTATCACTCAAATATATGCAAAAATAAAAATGTTCTATCTTCAAAAGGGTATCGAGCTTAAATACGGCATACTTTCTAGTTTATGCAGCCACTAACGTGCCTGATTTTTTTTAAGTTTTAGCATCCATTTTAGGCTTGAATGCGCTGCAGCCTCTAGTATTTGCCGACAACCAATCACTTAAGTGGCTTAAGATTTATTTTTAATTAATTTAATAAATAAAAGCAAACGCTTATGTTTGAAATATATGGTATATTCGTATATGTGAAAGGCATTTCCGCCAACACGTTTTGGCTGTTAGCCAAAAATTACGCTTTCTGCCTGCAAAAGATTTGGCAAAAAATTCACAAAATTACAAAATGCAGCATCTGCAGCTGTTCTCGGTTTTACGTTCGTTTCTAAGATGTCAAATTTTCATTCGTTCTTGGTTTTTCTTTTTAACTTTTTTTTTTGGTGTCAAAAAAGTTACTGCAAAAATATTTCAACAATGCAAAGGTAGGCAGGCAAAGCACGGCAAAATTATTTTCTATGTCACACGACTCTCTTCAATACACACACACACACACACACACACAAATCCTAATAAATGTATTTTACTTCGTTTTTTTGAGAAAACTTTCCCGCAAGTGTGTAAGCCTCTAGCAAATGCCGCATTGCACAGTTGAACACCTGCAGTGGCGGCCAACCAAATGGCAAATCGTGTAAAATGTACGAAAATCTCCTGAGACTGCAGAGCGCACAATTGGGCGGAAATCCGGTTGGGTTTCACTGCCACTATTCATTGCTATTTTTGCTGGTGCTGCCTGGCGTTGGAGAAATAGTTTGGGTGTTAAAGTGTTAATTGAATTATTTATAATGCCCATCTAATCAGCTACAAAGTGAGGTTAGGAGAGTTTTTAAGCAGATTATGATAATAAGACTTTTTAAGCGCACTTTATTTATACACACATATTAACATATATATACATATTAAATTCAATGTTGTGTATTTTTGTGTAGTTAAGAAGTATATAGTAAGACATTCATTAGAAGATCCCGCAGTAGTTCTTTTTTCATATTTTTTTTAATTGGGTGGCAACTTTGTCAATTGTCTTAAAAATTTTACGAAATATTTTAAGCATCAACCTCTTTTAAATTACCTTTATATTTCTAAAGGACAATACAAGTTTTTTTATAAATTTTTTCTAATAAGAATCTCAAATAAGTGGCAACCCTTCGCAAAAATATTATCCATAAAACATTCTTAAATTTTTTTAGGGGGTATGTGCATTGGAGTTCATAATTATATTTCCTTTTTCATATTTTTTTTTTAATTAGATGGCAACTTTGTCAATTGTCTTAACAATTTTCCACGAAATTTTTAGCATTAACCTCTTTTACATTACCTTTATCTTTCTAATAGGCAAGAGTTGATTTTTATAACTCAAAACTTTTTGTAATAAGAATATTAAATAGGTGGCAACTCTTCTCAAAAATATTTTTCATTATACTATCTCAAAATTCTTTAGTGGTTACCCACAATTGAGTGTCTATTTATATTTTTTTTATGTATTTTTTAACCAGGTGGCAACTTTGTCATTTGTCTTCACAATTTTCCGAAAAATTTTTAAAATTAATTTTGCTTTTAAATTATTTTTCCATTATTAAAAGGTAAGAAAAGTTTCTTATATTTTAGACATTTTCTAAAACGAATACTAAATATATGGCAACCTTTCTCAAAGAATTTTCTATAATTAGGTATTTCAACATTCTTTATATTGGTATATGTATTGGAATAAGTAATTTTTTTTTCTCTTTCTTTTATTAAAATTCTGCACCAGGTGGCAATTCTACCATATATTTTAAATTTCTTTAAAACTAGCGTCTTTTATATGTAAGCTTTTTTATAAAGAGGGAAAAACTACCTATATTTCATAACTTATTTCCAATTAAAAATATAAAATCAATGGTAGCCCTCTTGAAAAAAATGTTTTCCTTTTATTATATTATGATATATAAAATTTTTTTTGATTCTCTTTTTGTGGGGCGAAAATTATGAAAAATAAATATTTAAAAATTCATTCAATATTGTGAGTTGTATATTTTTTTTAAACATATGGCAACCCTTAAAAAAGTTTTGTTATAAATTTGTTTTATTATTAGGCTTATTTTAGCAAATTTTTTCCAATTAAATTTTCCAACGAGGTGGCAACGCTTAGTTATAAAGATATATTTAGTATCATATATTATTTATATTAAATAATATCTATGTAAATTCTACGTTTTTATGGAAGTTTTATAAATTTCTTAATTTCCCAATTGTCCCATTTTGTCTTGCAGCAACTGTACTGTGGATGCTCATAAACAAATATTTTCGGTGTGGTATGATTTTTACTTATTAATTTAACACTGCAGTGTATTTACATAAAAGATTATTCTCAGCATCATTTTGCACATATTCAGATACATATATACAATAAATAAAATATTTGTATAAATTTATGTTTACCTTTTGCTCAAACACTTCATTTTTTGCCCATAAATTGGTTTCTTCTTCTTTATTAACACTTTCACCAAGCTGGTTTACCGCTTCTTAACTAACTTGAATCTTGACAATTGAACGAAAACCGGTTTAGTATGACAATGATGCTGCGCATATGCGAGCACATAATACATACACGTACGCACACACTTATGTATAACCAAGCGAGAAGAAGATAATACATTTAAGTTATTTTACTCTTATTTGATTACTTAAGAAAATCAAGGGATAGTTGAATTCAACTTATTTAAATATATTTAACACCTTTGTGCGAACAACATAATTCACTGTTCATTTAAGAAAGAGCTAAAAATAAGTAGAAAAAAAACAAAAAAAAAACTCAAAATAAACAACATAAATGAAAGTAAACAAAAATCTGAAAGTAAGCGAAGATCGCAGCTGAATAAGCTGTAAATGCGTGCGACCGCCAAGTCAAGCGATATCATGAAATAATTCATAGATATACATGTGGGTATGCGCTCAGTAGTCAAATGGACTAGTTAAAAACTAGAAGTAATATGACAGGGAAGTAATATGACAACTAGTTCGACAACTGCTGCTTTTTCGATATAAAAGAAAGTACTTTACACATAGAGACGTCATTCAAAAACCCAACTGTCAGATTGCGAACAGTAATTCACTAGTTTCATACTAGTTAAGAATATGAAAATATACATGAGGCAATATACTTCTCTTTTTATCTTAATTTATATAAATTGTTTATTTAAATTAATTAATAATTTATATTTCACTTTTTAATCGATTTTCTTATTCTCTATTAATTAATTTATTTATTTTTGAGCTTATGAACTTAAATAACTTATAAAAATATTAAATATAATTGTGAGACTGTTTTACGAAAGAAGTATATACAAAATAATATACAATAAAAAATACCATTTTAAGCCAAAAACTCCAAAAAATTATTTTTCCCGTTGATAATTTGTTTTAGGAACGTAAAACTATTTAATCCATAAATCAGTTTTCGTTTATATACATTTCGGATCAGTACAGCATCACTCCTTCATTTAACCAGTCTACAATTTGACCCATCTACATTTTTAAGCTGTATGGACTTTAATATTTGTGTTTTTATTTTTTATATAGCACAACATCATCACAACGATTACATAACTGAATTGTCACAGCATCTCTCTTTCTCAGGTGTAGTATCAAAGGACAGTCATGGCGAAATACCAAAGGAAAGGGAGAATGCAAAAGAAAAATTTATGGTATGAAATCCTTTTTGTGAGAGAAAAATTTCGTTAAATCCTTAAATTAAAATTAATTTTTTAAAATGTTTAAAGCAAAATGTTAAAAATGTTTTTAATATTTACTTTTAATCTTAACAATTAAATTAAATTTCATTCGGTAGAGGCTTAATGGATTTTCTTAATTATGAAATAGAAAAAAACATTGGGTTGATTAAATGTAACTTTCCCTAAAAAAATATTACAATTTAAGCCAACCAGGATTAAAAAATATTAGTAAAAAATATAACGAATTCTCTGCTAGCTGTTTGTTTTTGGTAGAAAGTAATTAATAAGCTTCGATTTGTTTTAATTCAGTTATATTTAGTTTTTTAATTTATTATACTTCGTTGTCTTTATTTTATTTTATGTTATTTTATTTTATTTTATTTTATTTTATTTTATTTTATTTTATTTTATTTTATTTTATTTTATTTTATTTTATTTTATTTTATTTTATTTTATTTTATTTTATTTTATTTTATTTTATTTTATTTTATTTTATTTTTATTATTTTGATTTATATTATTTTTTTTTTATTTTTTTTTTTTTTATTTTCACAAATAAATATCAAATTAAATTTTATTAATTCTAATTTATTTTTAATTTATTTGTTTAATTTTATTTTATATTATATTATTTTATTTTGTTATTTTCAGTTATTTATTTTATTTACTTATTTAAATTTCTTTATATACTACTTTAATTTATGTTTCGTTCATTTGCTATTTCTATCTTGGGATATCTATATTTAAAGCAAAATACCCATCAATCGGTACTAAATTATACAATAAATAATTTCTTTTACACATATCAATATATTAGCCATCACTGTTATAAAGAGATATCTTTGCTTACTCTGCAAAATCACTTACTTACAACGAAGGGCATGAAGGTATAAAAGGTTGTTGCGCGTAGCTTCTGCGCACAGTCTAAAAAAACACGCAGTAACGGTCTTACAAACGTACTAACTTACGAAAGTGTTGTTAAAAGCAGTCATCGCAATTTTTGTTATTATTATAGGTAAATCTTTGTGCAACCAAAAAGTGTACATTTGCATAGTGATGTGGCGAAAAAGAAAGGCATTAAATTTCCATTAGTGAAACTCATAATGATATTAAAACAAAATACGGTGGAAGCTTGAAAATGCAAAACATTTTTAAGCAATTGAAAATCAATTAAAACTGTGAAAGATGTAACTGAACGCATATACAGACTAAGCTCAAACCGCTCGGTTTTGAATTTAAGTGAATTTCAGTTCTAATATAAAGTGGTTTTATGTAAAAGAAAGACGTTTTGGAAGTATTTCATCGAATGCATCAATATTTATTTTTTTATAGAAAAATAATAAAACTTGCTTAAAAACATAAAGTGGAAATAATTTTCTGTGATTATAATAAAAGGGGATAAATCGCATAAAATATTAATTTTATTTTTGACAAACAGAATACCAAAGTCAAAAATATGTTTTCCTTTATAGATTAAAAAAAATATATATATTTATAAATACATCACAAAATGATATATATATATATATACATATATATATATATATATATTGTTAGTCTTCTGTAAATATAAAATCGTTTCAATTGATTTTCTAAACTAATCTAGTTTAGTTCGTTGCTTTAGTTCCTGGAAAAGTTTGTACAAAAATTTTGTTTTAGGAAGTGGATGAGGGACTGGCCTAGTCGAAAAAATCGTATTTATCTCTAAATCTGTTTTTGAATTTAATTATGTGAGTGGCTTTTAGCTTTAACTAGACTCCCTGAGGAAGTTTAGCCAGCCAGAGACCGACCTATTCCTATCGTATTTATAGTTCTTTTTATATGGAATTCTTTCTTTACGGGAAGTGGATCGAACGGATTGAAAAATAGCATATTCATGTTTCGGTCCAATTAAAAAAAGGTATTTGGGCAATCGATTCTCACAGGCTTCTTTTTAAACCAATTCTTCACCAGCGAAAGCATTCGCCATTGACAAAAGGATCATCATCACTGGTTGTGAGGTTCGGCCTATAAAGTGAATGCATAAGAATCTCTCAACCACGCTATCGGAGCATCTATTGATGTGTGTTGTCTGCAAATCTACTGATAAAACATAATTCCCCTGCCTCATAATGGTTAAAGCTGGGCACTCTGAGATATACCCATCTTTTGACGACCCAATTGCTGACAGTGTAGGTCTGAGGGTTTGTCCGTAGAGCATCAGTTCATAGTACCATCAAACATACTTTGAAACCTTGCCGGCCTTCAATTATGGCTTGGTGTTCGTTTGTGCCAGTTTACTGTCCTTTCCTTTCATTTTACTTTGCTGAAGATAATCCACGTTTCTTTAGATAGAAATTCGGTCCATGGGGTTGCTTTTCGTTAGCTCATTCATTCATGTGGCACTCAAAACTAATGGGGTCCTGGACCTTATGTGCTGTATATGCGGTTGAGGTTGCCGAGTAAGTGATTTTTTGCCATATTAACTGCACACTCGTGTGACGGTACTTTGCTGTGACGAATCAGCAATTTTACCTTCTCTAGACGCGACTGTATCAATATCAATATTGAATACTTCGTAGTATGATTCGTGCAACCCAAGAGTGCCTGTTGGCAAACAAGCCTACCTCGGCCATCTTTGATAAACTTTCCCACTGAAAGCCCCATGGATTTTTATTAGCGTATGTCATGTGATGAATCCATGCTTCGGCTAGGATAAGAAATGGGTTAAACTGATTCATTGATGATAATTTGCACACTTCCACGGCATTGAAGAGCCGAAACGATTTTCACCATTCTCTTATCTCTGGTTTCCTCTTAGGATTTAACTCAGCAAAAAATTATAAAAAATTAAAAATTGTGCTTGAACATTTTCCGATTTAATTTTGGATTAATTATTTTTCTTTTATTAAAGCACATTAAATTTGCATGACGGGAAATCTTAGAAAGCATTAAATATGGACGCACAAACCTTTCGAGAGTTCGGCAAAGCCGCCGTGGACTTTATAGCCGATTACATGGAAAATATACGCGATTGGTAACGAAGTTAAAGGAATAACTGTAAAATAAAGCAACTGAAGTAATGACTAAACATTTTTTTCTACAGCGACGTACTACCCTCAGTCACGCCGGGCTACCTGCTGGAACTACTACCAAAAGAACTGCAAGAAAAGCCAGAGCAATGGCAAGACATATTGAAAGACATAAATAAATTCATCAAACCAGGCATAACACATTGGCAGTCACCGAATTTTCACGCTTTTTACCCAACCGGTTGTTCTTACCCCTCGATAGTGGGCGATATGCTGGCGAGTGGCTTCAGTGTGATCGGTTTCAATTGGGTGAGTTGTTGGTAGATTAGCTAAAAGTTAAAAAAAAAAAACAATTTTAAATCTCTCTTCCCCCAAAAGCTCTGCAGTCCTGCCTGCACGGAGTTGGAGGTCGTCGTCATGGATTGGCTGGCGAAATTTTTCAAATTACCCGCACATTTTCTGCACGCCACTAAAGGCCCCGGCGGTGGCATTATACAGGGCTCAGCAAGCGAGGCTGTGCTTGTCGCTGTTATGGCAGCGCGCGAACAGGCTGTGCGTCGCGTAAAAGCCGCACAACCGCAACTCAGTGAGGGTGAAATACGCGCGCGTCTAATCGGCTACTCGAGCGATCAGAGCAATAGCTGCATAGAAAAGGCCGGTGTATTGGCCACGGTGCCCATACGTCTGCTGCCTGCCGATGACACACAAGTAATGGGTGGCGCACAGTTAGCTAAAGCAGTGGAGGAAGACTTGGCTAAGGGACTCATACCCACAGTCTGTATAGCGACAATGGGCGCCACAGGCACGTGCGCTTATGATGACATCACGACGCTGGCAACAGTTTGTGCACGGCACAAGATCTGGTTACATGTTGATGCGGCTTATGCAGGCGCCGCTTTGGCTTTAGATGAGTTTGCGCATTTGCGTCAAGGACTCGAGCACGTCGACTCACTCAACTACAATCTGCACAAGTCGCTGGCGATAAACTTCGACTGCACGGCCATGTGGCTGCGTGACTCATATCAAGTTGTGGAGAGTTTCAATGTGGAACGCCTCTACTTGCAACACAAATACGAGGGACAGTCGGACATACCCGAATTCAGACATTGGCAAATACCGCTGGGGCGTCGCTTCCGCGCGCTAAAGGTTTGGGTTACATTCCGCATTTTCGGCGCGGCAGGTTTACGTGAGCACATACGCAATCAAATACGTTTGGCGGCGCGTTTCGAGCGGTATGTCTTGGAGGACACACGTCTGGAGTTGATTGCTAAACGCGCTATGGGCCTGGTCTGCTTCAGAGTAAAGGGAGGTGACCACTTGAGCACCGAACTTTTGCAGCGCATAACCGAACGCAAGAAGATCTATATGGTGCAAGCGGCGTTTGAAGGCGGAAAATTTATACGTTTCTGCGTTTGTGGCATGGAGCCGAAGGAGGAAGACATAGATTTTGCTTGGCGCGAAATTGAAACGCAGTTGAGTCAATTGCTAAGCGAAAAGAGAGGAATTAATGGGAAAGTCGGTGGGAAAGAGAAGAGCAAAGCAACGGATAGCGGTAATGAAAGCCTAGAGGAACAACAAATACAGCACAAGGATGGCGCATGCGCGATTACTCAACAATTGAACTCTGATCTGCACATAGGAATATGCGGAAATGAGAAATCTAAATGAATTTGCGTCTTATAATTCAAATATTTTATTAATTTTATGATTATATTAAAACTATTTATTTAATAATTAAATTAATTTATTGTAATAAAATTTGGAATTCTTGAAAGGAAACCTTCACCTGTATGCCTATTAGTCTAGGGTACTCATTCAAGTGATCGATGGCTTAGTAGGGTGTAATGGGGTGTAGTCCCGCTTCTGTAAAAGCAGTTCCTATGCTATACTCAATTAAAAGTTTCAAAGAGAGAAGATTTCAGTGTGGCCTCTCCGACATTATCAGTTAAATGTTCCTTGGTACGTGTTCCGAGAAAAGCAGCTTATATGACAATCCCTGGATAGTTGGGTCATTTCATTGGTAGGCATGCCTTCGTAAGCCTCAATACTGCCATCACTAACTACTCTTCAATAATTGCGCTGGATAAGCGTGGAAACGAGTACGTCCCTGAGTACCAGAGCTCATGGTAGAAGAGAAACTCAGGCACCGAGTGCTGACATTCACTCCGGTGTTTGAACCCCGGCGACGTTGCCAAAGTTCAGCGAATTAAAAGTTCGTGGCTACACTCACTTGGTTGGGTTGTTGGTGTAATATTAATATTAATAAGCCCAAAGGTTGCCCTCTTCCCGCTCACTCAGCTCGACGGGCACCATCCGCATGACGTACGGAATTTGCAGCGTCATGAAAAAGGGTTAAACCTCCAGAGAATGGGGCATCGATTTCACTAGAGAGACTTGGATAAAAACTCCAAACACAGATCATTTTTACAGATGGCTCAAATCTCACATAGTGTTACTCGCAATCGACATAATCCAGAGCTATTCCGCTATTAGAACGGTTTTTAAACAGAATTAAGTGCAGAACTGTGGGTCCAAGACCCACCCGAGCTGAACACGTTTCTTTGGAAAAATAAAGTACGGGCTTCGCTAATAAGACACATAACCGTTGGAGGACGACAACTTCATGGAATGTGAAAGACCAGAACTAGCTACAGATCGAAGAGAATGAAACGAAGCCTTCACCCCTATCAAACAGGATCTCCATCAGCGTTGCCACCAGTCAAAAATCGGCATTATCTTCCGGAGTTGTTGCCATGGTTGAAGGAATTCTATCGCAGCTGCAGGGACATAGGTGAGAAGGATTAGCTATAACACACAGCAGCCACCACTGCCCATCTTCCAGTGTTTACACACCGCTTTCCATGATATTCTTAAATTTGTATATCTGAAAAAAAAAAATTTACTAAAAAATTTATTAAAAATTTTGAACTTTTTGCCAATTAAAAAATAAACTACAAAACAGCGCTCTCCTTCGCCAAATTTGTCATGCCAGCCATTTTCTCCATAGCAAATGTACAAATTTGCTGAATGTTTTCTTGCTAAATGGCAGACACACAACCAAGCTGATAAACAAGCGGATACATGAAAAACCAAACGAACTCACTATCAGCGTGCGAAATATGCAAAAGTCATTGCCTGGGGAGTACTCATGCTCTACTGCAAATATGGAAATGCAAAAAATATATGTAAACAAATATGTATATGCCAATACTCCCACAACACACAAATGTACAAAAGTAAAAAAGTACAACAGCGGAGGATATTCGGTCACATCGGAAACACTGTCAACAAAGCATTTTTGTGATCGCAACTAACTGCACACATTTGGCTTTATGCCAAAGAGAATAAACGATGGTTAAATATATATATGTGTATATATACAAATGCTTATATTTATATTTTTTTCCAGATATTAGCAAAAAGCAAAAAAACTTTCATTTTTAGAAAGAATTTGCCCATAGGAAATCATCCCGAGATTTTGTCTTTTTATAAAATTTAAAAAGCAAAAATACTTCCGAAAAATAAAATTAAATAAAATAAAATTAAATAAAACAAAATAAAATAAAATAAAATAAAATTAAATAAAATAAAATAAAATAAAATAAAATAAAATAAAATAAAATAAAATAAAATAAAATAAAATAAAATAAAATAAAATAAAATAAAATAAAATAAAATTATAATTTCAGAGTGGAAATCCCAACCAGTTTACACCAGTGGTTCAAAACACACTTTCCTTGTTTTATTATTTTTTATTTTGGCTGTATCCTTTTTGCACACCAACTGCCTTTTCTTGTGGAGGCAGTAAATTTTTCGCATGGCCTCTAAACGCTTACCGTTTTAGGAACATAGTTTTCACACAAATTTTCCGAGAGCATTTGTTTATTTCCAATATTTTTTGCACTCTTGTCTATTTTGTCTAATAAAAGAGGTGCATTTCATTGATTGTGGTGACATTAGGGTGGATGCGTTGACGAAAAAAAATTTTATAACAAAATATTTAAGAGATCTTGGTTTTAAAAGCTTTAGTTTAAGTACACAAAAAATATTAAATACAAATAAAAAATGGAAAAAATATTAATGAAAAAGAAATTTAAATTGTGCCAAAAATATTAAATATTTTATTTTATTCCTCTATCCTTAACCGTGGCGGCGAGCACCCATAGACAAGATAAACAAATACGCCAATATTACCCTTTATAAAAAAAAGACAAAAAAAAAAAGAAATTTGTTTTCCAAGGACACCCACTACATTGCATGTAATTGAAAACAGTCGACTGTGCTAGTAACCCACTTAACGGTAAATTGAAATGAATGCAACACATTTGTATTTAAATTTTATTTTTAGTGTCAAAATTGGTATATTTGCTGGCTTATAGAAAAGTGTTAGCTTTATTAGCTTTTACAATGAGTTATGAGAGAGACATAAAATACATACATACGCACATATAAAATACAGTTATCGTTCTTTATAAAAATTGTAAGGACAAAATTGTGTAAAAAACTACTTTGAGAAATACACATTTGAGACAGATATTACAGTGATTTAGGCATAAAATTATTTCTTTAAGGACAGCTATTTTTAAATCGAGTTAATTGCATAAAAAAAAAAATTAATTATTTATTTTTGGTGCTAAAATTATAGACTCTAACGTGTGTATGCATATATATGTGAATATATGTAATATTTTGGTTAATTGAACTGTCCATACGATTTTTAGTATATTATCTATTTTTATTCCTTATTCCCTCACTGCACTTTTTTACTTAATTAATTTAGTGTATTTCATTGTGCAAGATATTAACTATATTTGGAATTAGTTTTGCTGCTTAAAAAAACTGAAATTTACAATTGTTAAGATTAAATTTAATTTTGGGCAAGGAAAAAATATACAAAAGCACATAAAACAATTAACAATTAAAACAAATAAATAAAGCAAATTTTCATACAAAACCATAGTTAGCTTTCAGGGTATAGCGCTTAAATTAATTATTTGAATTTTTAATTAATTTTTAATATTTACCAAACTGTTTATTTAACTATAATTAAAAGTAAGAAAGGAAAATACATTCTAGGCACTACATACATATATTTAGATATTGTGTTTAAAATGTTCTTTGGTTGGGTTTCACTACGATTTGCTGTTAAGAACTTAATTTATAATTCTTTAAACTCAATAACTTATTTGATAAAATTGAACCAAACTTAATAACAACTAATATTTTTTTTACAATATTTTAACTTATTACAAAATTATATACAAAAGTTTTACAATTTCTATTAAGCCATAAAGTGTTGAAAATGTTTTTTTTCTCTGAATTGGAACCAAGGAGTTTTTAAAGTCTTATATTTTATTTTACTAATATCAATTTTATTTATTTTATTTTATTTAATTTTATTTAATGCTATTTTATTTAATTTAATTTATTTTAATTTTATTTTATTTTATTTTATTTTATTTTATTTTATTTTATTTTATTTTATTTTATTTTATTTTATTTTATTTTTTTTAATTTTTTTTTATTTATATTCTATTTTATTTATATTCTATTTTATTTTATTTTATTTTATTTTATTTTGTTTAATTTTTTATCGACTCAATGATTTTAGCTCAGCGCCAGTTGACGGTTTTATCGACCACTCGGGATAAACTAATTCCATTTGGCTATTCCGATTACTTTCGTCTATTCGATTCCGAAAAATAGTTTTTATATTTGTTAATTGTTTCGATAACGCTTATCGATGATTTTTAAAAAGTTATCGATAACTATAAAATTCCTTTACCTGAAAAATTTGTATTCATTAACTTTCGGCTGTATTTTAAGTTAATGAAAAGTTATTGAAAATAACTTCCAATATCTTAAAAAAATTTCCACCAAAGTTCATTCATCGAACGTCGATAAAGTTATGCCACTCTAGCCCCAAAATATATTCTCGTTTCCAATCGTTTTTATTTTCATTTAGTTGACTAGTCTATTTAAATAATAATCTTGGTTCTTATGCCCCTCCATCCCAACTTAACTCGTACTAGCCTACAGATACACGAAATGCCCCAAACCTTTCGCCGGATGATTATTCACTACCTCACCCCCCACTGTAGCCGCAGCCGCCGAAGTTGTCGTACCAGCCGTCGAATTATTGCCATTGCAATCTTCAGCTATCTGCTTTGATGTTGGCTGATGATCCGCCACCGTCGTTGCTGCCGCCGCATTGCCATTGCCATCGGTGAGCATGCGTGTGGACCGTGTAACGTACACACTTTGTGGACGCAGCCGCTGGCAAGCACTCGTATCGAAGCGGCCATTCAGCTCGATATCCAACAGCTTCTTATCATTGCCGAGCGCTGAAAAACTATGTGTGGCTGTGCGTATTTCACGTATATTATACACCGGACTGTAGCTGGGTAGCTGCATTTGTAGGGTTTTGGTGGTGGCGCAACTACTGCTGCTCGATGTGCTGTTGGAACGGTGTAGCTGCAACATCATTGACGAATTTTTATGACAAAATTCGCATGATTTAAACGAATTGCGACACTTCGGACACACATCAGCGCTCTTTGACGTTGCTGTCAAGTGCTGCTTCAACGGTACAACGGATAGTGTCGAAGGTGTACGTCGTATGCCGCCCGTGGAACCCTCCGAGGAGGTGTCCGATGAGCCCGACGTAGATGAAGCACCATCCTCATCTTCATCGCTGGCCATCAAACTGTGTATATCGTCGGTTAGTGATTCAATGGATATATCCAGGAGGCTACTGTCGTCTTCTAGTGAGGAAACGGTGCTGTTGGCATCAAATGATTTGCTATTGTTATTGTTAATGCCATTCTGGGAGAGACCATTGAGTGTGGCAAGCAACTGACGGCGTCGTATATAGGTCGGGTTACGGCGCACGAGGAAGTGGCAGGTTTCACCACGGCGCATGCGTTCGGACTGTGCACGCAGTGGTATATCGTCGGGATGCAATTTGCGTTGGTACTCCTGACCCGGGCAGACCTGTGTAGAGAAGTATGCATTGAAATTTCGCTCTTGAGATATCTAAATTTTTGTAAGCTACTCACTTCATAGATAGAGAATTGTTCAACAGGTTCCATGGAATTGTAGCAAGAGAGTAGTAGTTGCAGTAGCTCGTCGGACGTTGTTTCCTCGGAGATAACCAAGGATTTGTACTGTGAAGAAGGCTGCAGAGCGGAAGTGTGTACGCGTATGAGACCACCAGGTTTCAGTTGTAAGCAGAATCTGGTAGAAAACAAAGAACAGTCATGAGTAAAGCATTGAATAGTGTTTGAAAAATTAAATTTACCTCGACTCTCCTTTCGGATGGCAAGCTTGCAGTATAGCTGGACGTGTATCATCATCTAGCACGAGTATGGTCTTAACACCAGCACGTCGCACCGACACTTCCATTGAGAGGTAGAAAAGTCGTGGATCGCGATGACGCATTTTGAGGCTGCAAAATGAGTACATTTTCATTTCAATTTAAATTTTAAAAGAAGAGTTTTAATTAAAGAAAATTACCGTCTGAGTAGCTGTGTAATAACTTCCTTGCTGGTGGTGTCCCATTGTATGCCGAGGGTTTTATATTCGATATCGATTTTTAGACAATTCGTGAATACTTTAATGGTCGTCTGCAGAAATAAATTAAAATATTGCGGAATTTAATTATATAAAATCGAATTGAATTTTTTTTAATTACTTTAATTTAGACACAATTTAATTTAATTAAGATTCGTTTAATATAATTTAATTCTTTTAAGTATCTAGTCAATTCCAAAAATATTTAATTGTATTTTAATTTACTTTAATTTAATGAAGTTGAATTAATTTTAATTTGAACTTATTTAATTTACATTACCTATTTTTAATTTAATTTAATTTAATTTAATTTTTTTAACTACCTCAAAATTAAACAATTTCACTTAAGTATCTCCAAATTTAACTGTATGCATATTAAATTAATTTATTTCAATTTAGTTAAATTTATTTTAATTTTATTCAATTTTTGGTTTCTTTTTAATGTATTTTAATTGAATCTTAGTTGTTTAATTTATTTTAGTTGAATTTAGCTTAATTTAGCTTAAACTAGTTCAATTAAATTAATTTTAAATAATTTAATCATATTTCTACAATTTACTTTAATTATTTTTATTCAACACAAAATAATTTATTTTATTAAAAAATTACTTTAACTTAATTTTGTTTAATTTAATTTAATTTTATACAATTTAATTTGACTTTATTTACAAATTTTGATAAAATAAATTTGATGTATTTTAGTTTAATATAAATTTTTTAAATTTAATAAATTTAAACTAATTGAATTTCTTTTAAATTTATCTCTTTTAATTCAATATAAATTATTTAAATTTATTTTTCTTTATATAATTGATCTCATTTGAGTTTACCATTTTATATTAACATAATTTAGTTTTATTAAAAATTATTATTATTTCATTTCTTATTAAATTTAATTTAAATTTATTTTTCCCCTTAATTTCTGCACCCTTTGTGCATTTCTTAAATTATTAAGAACATCTTCCATTCACAACTCACCTGTGGCAATTGCTCACTCAAGCTTGAGTAACTGGATGCGCGTGACGGTGTACGCTGCAGTTCAGTGGGCGGCTCCGGGCTACCACATATCGACGAAGCGCAGGATGAACGTAGTGAGACCGAATCGGAGCGATTGCGGAGCGGTGAAATTTGTACGTGTTTCAACATCTGTAAAGAAAATGAAATATGTTAATATCATTGTGCTTGTAACGAGAAATTTCTTAGATTTAAATAAATATCATATACAATATTTTTACTTATTTTGTTTCGTTTTATTTTCTTTTATTTTTTTTATTTTATTTTATTTTATTTAATTTAATTTTATTTTATTTTATTTTATTTTATTTTATTTTATTTTATTTTATTTTATTTTATTTTATTTTATTTTATTTTATTTTATTTTATTTTATTTTATTTTATTTTATTTTATTTTATTTTATTTTATTATATTTTATTTTTTTTATTTTATTTTATTTTATTTTACTATATTTTATTTTTTCTTATATTATTTTATTTTATTTTTAATTATTATTTCTTATTTCATTTAATTATATTATATAATTTTATTTTGTTCTATTTTGTTTAATTTACTTTGTTATATTATATTTAATTCTACTTTGAATTAGAGCAAACTTGCATTATAAATTTTTCTTGAAAGCTCTCAACCCACCTTTTTTGTTGCTTAGCTTTATTACTGTGGTCATATTAAAATTAAATTTCCACATAGTGTATAACTTTTTTAATAATTTTTACATTTTTTCTAAAGCATTTCATTTGCGTCAACTAACTGTTTATCCTGCAAAGCTGTTCAGCTACTTAGTGCATTTAATTTGCTTGGAACATATGTTTTTGCTATAAAAAGCACAGTTGTATGCGTTAAATAATGCATATGCACTTATGTATGTTTGTATGTATGCGTTTTTTTTTATTTTGCTACATTAGGTGTATGTTTTTTGCTTATGTACTAAGTTAAGTATTTGCTTTCAAATATACTCATATATTTATGTGTGTGTTTGTATATGTGCTTGCGCGAGTGCTGCTTCAGCCTGTGTCATTTAAATTTGCAGAAGTGTTTAGCAAATTTTTTCTTTGCATTTATGCTTAAGTGCAGCTCATCATATTGTATGCGCAATCCTTTTGCAAAACTTTTTTTTTGTACTCAGAAAGTGGTTTTGCAAATGAGCATGGTTAATTAGCATGTGAAAGCATTTGTTATGCATAAAGTGGCATTTTAAATATAAATAGAAAAGAAAATTAGCGTGGATGATGGTATAGAAGTTTGTAGAACATTTTAAAGAAGCTCATATAATTTGTTAATTATATATGTAGGACATAAATTTTATGATTAGAAACATTTTATGTTCAGTAATTTAGCATATTTAATTAAAATGCATTTTAAGCTATTTTTATTATTCAGCTGTTTTTAAGCACAACAATTTTATGGTATACCACATTTTATGGCTTGCCATTTTTTATGACTTACCATATTTTATGGTAACAAAAAAATGTATGGCTAGCAATAACATGCATATAATTATAGTTTTATTAAACAACAGTTTCTTTTTTGCAACAGCTTATATTACGCGATATTATATGTTTCGAAACACGTTTTAGCAATATTATAAGCTTTGCAAAGTTTTATGTTTAGAAACTTTTTATGTTAAGCAATATTTTATGTTTAGTAATTTTTTTTATTGGTGCTGTTTAGCAATATTGAAGTTTTGGCAACATTTTTTTTCTTTCAATATATTATGTTGAGCTATATTTTATGTATAGAAATACCTATCTTCCTATAAAAATCGATATGTACAGCTTTTAAGTGCTTACACATTTGTATCAACATTTGTCCACTAAATCGCTGAAAGCTTAAAGATTTTATTTTTATTACCGTTAAAATGTTTTGCAAATTTTTCGACGAACAAAAATAATTGATTTTGCATACAAACAATCTTTATTCACGCGTAATACGCTTTCCAATTCCAGCACAAAGCACTTAAGGCTTCACAATGATTGGAAGCTTCCACGCAATGAAAGCTAAAGAATTTTTATTGCTTTTTAGAAAATTTTGTATGTATATAACTGGGTGAGTGTTTGTGTTAGCGTTTGCAGGACATTTGTTCGATTTTTATACTCTCAATATTCTGCTTTGTCAATTCACATTTGCGATTTTACTCGAACGCTCTTGAAAATTCAATCAAAAAGTTTTTCAACAATCAAAGCTTGCAATTGCTACCGAGCTAACTGTCAGCGTGCCGAACGTTCTACACCATACGTCAAGCAATGAAGCAATAGAGAGCATAACCTAGTTGGTTTGGGTTTAGCGGAAAAGGAGTGTCGTGCCGTCATGGCACACTAGTGACAGTGATGAAGCGTTTGCTGCAACATTTACTCGCTATAGAAATTAATACAAAGAAGGAAATAAAGCGAAATTATATAAAAAAAATATGCAGCAAGCAAATATGTATTCCAGAGCGCCCATACATAAGCTACTCAAGCATTTAAAAGTGCGTGCAACATTAAGTGGCACATTAACTGCCATTACCGGCGTGCCTTATATGCCCTTTGTAACACACCCGGGGGTAAACGGAAATTTATTTAAAACGATTTACATATAAAAAGCATGTGGTACGCAATAAAAAAATTGTATACTCTCAATCGAGTACATATTTACATATGAGCATCTACGTGTTTGCGCTGCAAAGCGATTGCCTGTGGCATTCAAAATAAAGCGTGCTCAACCAGCGGATTTGGTTTTTTATGTTTCGGCACGCTTGAATGCCTGCGGCGGGGAAAAATGAGACAAAAGCGAAACTGAAAAATATTAAAAGAAGTACATTTAAGTATGCATGTGGCTTTGATCCAAGAGAGTGAGAGAATACCCAAATTACCCGAACAATTTCAATTTGTCTCCCAATAGACAGTTTATCTCCCTGCATTATTATACAATTCACTAAGTCATAAGCCGCTGAGTACCTCTTTTCGTGGAAGCTTTTGAGCGGCCTCTGAAAATTTTTGAAATATGTGGGGGGGAATAGGGAATTATGGCACAGAATTATAGCTACTTCTGTGATGATTATTCCTTTTGCAATACACCGGAAGTATTAACTTGGCACTGAAGTGTGCCTCTTATACCTCCATTGCGAGCTTAAGGTACTGATATTCGAATATTGCTATAAAAGAGCTACTCTACTCACGCAGGAGTTATTGTATGCTGAAGCAATTGACAAGAAGATGAAAAGATGACAAAAGACTACCTATTGAATTTCTATACAGAAACATAATGCAACTAAGTTGATATTGAATAAAATAAAATAAAATAAAATAAAATAGAGTAAAATAAAATAAAATAAAATAAAATAAAATAAAATAAAATAAAATAAAATAAAATAAAATAAAATAAAATAAAATAAAATAAAATAAAATAAAATAAAATGAAATTACATCAAATGAAATTAAATAAAGCGCTGAACTCACATTTAATGCTCTCATATATATATATATATATATATATATATTATATTATGCACAATAATTTTTATAGCTAACAATCAAAGAAGGCAATTCTCAGAAATGCACAGAGCATTGCTCGCAACAGTTTACATGTATTTATATATATATGCCTGAAAAACTGTTACATAGCAAGCATAAAAAATTAAATTATACAGAAAATATGGTTAAACATGTAACATGAGTCAACAGTGCCGCCTACACTGCTTGCTTGTGGCGCTTGAGTTTTATAATTTTTTTTGGCTTTACAGACAAAAAACAATAAAAGGGGCTAAAAAACATGAAATAAAAAAAGTGAAATAAAAATAAAACAAAAATAAATGAAATATAAATAAAAAAAGCTAAAAGAAAAAATGTAAAGCAAGCAATTCTCATGACAACAAAAGAGTTGGCAGCTAAAAAAAAAAAAATAAAAGTCACAAAAGCACTTTGCCACATCAATTAGTTGCCAGCATTAAAGTGCTGCCGCCCATACGCCAGTACGCTTACAGTGTTTTTGCACAGTTATGACTGTGGCCTGTCCCATAGATAAGCGTTTGTTACTTTTTTCATTTTATAAATATATTTTTTTGTTTGTTTATTTTTAATATACTACATAATGGTATTGCAGTTGCACATGCTTTGTTATTTGGCCCTTAATTGTATACATATGGCTGCACACATATACACATCTCTATATATATATATATATATATTTACTGCCATTGAGGCGCATCAGCAACCCTCATAATAATTGCAGAAATTCCCACTCATGTAATTTTTTGTTTAATATGCTGCAGAAAAAGCAACAATTACAACAACATTAGAACTTTAATAATACAAACATACATATATAATGAAGTGCAACAATTGTTTGTGGCTTGTCACGATGCATTTGTGGGTATTTAAATATAGCTATGTATGTATATGTATATATTAATATATATATTTATTTTTTTATCATGAATATTTTAATTTTGCCGGCTACTAATTTTTCATTATTTTTTACTTTTATTTATTTTTTATTTTATTTTTTATTTTATTTTTTATTTCTATCTCTTAATTGCCTGTAAGGCATACAACTCAACATGTGTCCCCTATTTTGCTATCTTTTCGCACTGCGCAGTGGGAAAATTTTGCAGTGAAAATAGTAGTTAAATGCCGCGTGTGAAAAAAAAAATGTTTTTTGTTCTGCCTGAAAATTTTCTCTCACACAATTAATGCAAATTGATAGCTTTATGCGATTTTGTAAATTTTATCTCACTGCGAATGGTTGTATGTGTGTACAAAGTGGGCATGTCGCAACTCTAAACATTATTAATGCCCTTAGAAGTGGAAAACGTGTGAAATTTTAAAAAAATTCTTGGAATTTTTCTTTCATGAGATATTTCAGGGATGAGAGTTATTGGAACACCTTCGTGGAGTGTAAAGATTATTTGTATTAAAAAGGGCTTTGAGGTCCAGAAATTAATACATGGAAAGAAAATCTGTAATCAAAGCTTCAATATCTCAATTTATAAAATCAAAAACAAAATTAAAATTTTTTTTTATTTACTTTACTTAAATGAAATATTTAGGAGGAATATATTAAGTAAGAAAAATGTGTGCAAAGTCTTAATAACTACTCAAAACATGGCAAATCACACTCTTACATAAGTACATATGCATAAATTTAGTAACTT